GAGATAGGTGTCATCGAGATGAGAAGTGGTATAATGGTGGATCTTCTTACACACGAAAGTCCTGTAGTCAACTTTTCTATCACACCAAGTGGTGATTATGCTCTGGTTTCTCTTGAACCGAAGAAAAAGGATATTTGTACCAAACTTTGGAATCTGCAAGAGAGACAGGTCATCAAAGAATTTGGTAATGCATCAGGTTACTGCATTACACCACACAAGAGCAACTTCATTTTGTTTGTGTCTCAGCAAGAAGTTGCTTTTAAGGCGCCTTACTTCATAACCATGTTCCAGATGAGCGATGGTGAAGTCGAAGAGTTTACTCATCCTCTGGCCTTGCGGTTTGTTTTGGAGAAACCTTTCCTGACTAGCAATGATAAATATCTGATTGTTCTGACCGCACATGAATATCACGAATCTCGAGATGAATATGAAACACCAACCATATGTACATTTTCAATGGACGAAGAGATGAAAGTCTCGTACTTTACACCAGACAGTTTTCGAGATTCTATCCTGATTGACTCCATAGTGGACATGCAGCCCTGCTTTGATAACCCGTACACGATTGCTGTAATGTATAGGTCTAAAGAGATCCTCGACTTCAATGACAACAGTCCGTTCGGCGGACTTGGTGGCGGAGCCAGATATGGATTTATGATCCTTGACATCTGCAGTGGTTCTGTTGTCACGATCTGTGATCCATTCTTAGTACCAAGCTTCATACTCAAAAGAAAACTTCTATTTGATGAAAACTACTCCTTCTGTCTGGACGACCAATCAAATGTCTTCGACCTCCGTGAAGGCTGTTATATTGGACAATTACCAAAACAAAATTCTCCACCCCGAGTCATTGCTCTGAATGGAACTGTAGTTATTTATTACGACGAAAGTGTACTCTCCGCGTACCGTCTTACTTCCGGTGAAATAATAGCACATTGCGACGTCCATTCAAATATTTGTTGCCTGAAACTCAGCAGAGACCAAAGAACTTTGGTCGTTGGATGCGAAGACGGTTCTATCGCCTCTTACGTTTTGATAGATCCAAAAGTAGAAGATCCGGACACGGTTCTTGAACATCTCGGTAGCAGACAGTTGACGGAACCAAAAATAGTCTCGGGGCGTCGCAGTTCCATTCCTTGGGACAAAGTTGAGGAGGGTGGCAGTGCACCCCAATCCAGACCAGTGTCTGCCGTCGCGACTGAAAAGACGGATAAAATAATACTTAAAGAAATAGAACCCGCTCCTGCTTTCAGACCGAGTTCCGATACACTGATGTACCTGAGTACAAAGTCCAAGGCATGCTCTATTATGTAAAAAAAGATTCAAAGAGGACTTTTGCTTGAAAATGATTTTTTTTAAAATCAATTATAGTATATTGTAGCATTTACTATTAGTCAAACATAGTTAGTCTTAATTATAATTATATATATGTACAATTTATTTGTTGTATCCAAATGGCCAAACAAGCGTCTGTGATCTATTTAGTAAGTGCAGCATATTTGTTTCTTTTATATGTATGCTTCTATGTTTATTGTGAATGTATTTGTAATGTATTTTTAGGTACACAATTAAATAAATTTTTCAAACAAAAAACTGTTTCCGATTTAAGAAATATCGATAACAATAAAGCAATACAAAAGGCAATGGAATTAGCGCTGATTATCGTCTTTCTGAGCATATCTGAAAATATGTTCGTTGTTTAGCAGAAGCTTTTCGACTTCTCGATAAAATCAACACAACCGGGCGAAAAACCAACGAAGTAATGCATGAAAAATACCCTTTTATCTGATAAGATTTTGTTTTATTGATCGAAGTATGGAAAAAGGCAAATATCAGCAAATAACCTGTTATTGGATGGACTTGTTGACACGAATTGGAAACACCATATTCGATGTATGACTTTCATCAACTAATGGAGTAATCGGACCAAAAGGAAATATTTGCCTTTTCAAGGAAAATGGAAATTATACTGAAACGGTTCATAGCATGTTGTAGTAAATTTGAAGAAAATTTTCTGTCAAGGGAGGAAATATTTCATTTGTTTTGCTGAATAGTAACTTAAGTGTAGTTTTATGCAAACAACAGGTTAATTTTAAGAAGAAAATTCATAGGATCTTTTTAATACAGTCATGCTTGAGAAGCTGTTTTGAAACATGTTTAGTCATCATCTACCTTTAAATTTTCAAAATCTAGAACACAGTTCATCTTTTATGGTTACTTTCATAATTGGTTCATATTAACAAAGAATTGATCTGATCCTATATTTTTTTGCATGATAAGTTATTGATATAAATTAATTGAAATTACAAATTATTGATAAAATTTGTGCAGAATATGACAAATTATAGTCATTTTTAACGCTCATTCTGTTTTCTATAACCAGGAAAATTTGGGAACCTTTCGAAAGAGAATTCAGAGTATAATAGTCCACAAAATAACACTGTAATGCAAAGAATATGCCTAGTTGAAATTGAGGGCTTCCTGTTTGTAGTTCATGCACGTTTCAAGCTGCGAAATTGTGCAAGGAAGGAATTTTATTCATGTTGCTCATGTACGTTTCAAACTGCGAAATTGTATGAGAAAAATCTGCTAACATCGTGCTATTTTAATAAATCAAAAACGGTATATTTGTTCAAAGTTTGACAACTCCTACCAGTCCATTGTCTTTTTCTCTAGCAGCCACTTATTAAACATAAAATCTGCTGAGAATATTGCCTAAGTATGTCTATGTCCTTGCATCCATCGATGAATTGTGTCATTTTCATCTTAGTTGGACAAATTGTACTTCTTGAGAGAAAGTTATTTTTCATTATCGATGAAACACCCCTACTAATGTGTTCGGAACCTTTTCTTTTTCGGTGTTCTGCAAATTATAAAATCCGATGAGTTCAGAGTAGCTCTGACAGTGGCTCTGGCGAGAGTTAGCGAGACTTCAGCGAGATAGGGTAAATTATTCACGGAAATGTGGCTAGGAAGTGACTAGCACGTGGAGACATGGTAAACAGCAAAGTTATGTTGCGTTTTAGTTTTCACCACCCTATAATATCATTCTGTTAAAATGTACTTCAATCGATCTTTCTTGAATTCATTCAAGTTTAAATTATTTTTAAGTATTCTCTCTGATACAATTTTCTGCTGTCATGAATTAAAATTTCTTTTTGGACAAATATTTTGCATGGGAACCGGGACTATATTTTTTGGCGTCAGATTAGCAAATGAGGCACCAATGTGGCTTTAACTGACAAATCAGCTGAATGAGAATTGCATTATGGGTTACTACGAATACTACAGGAATTTTACGCTTGATAAATTCCTTTATTGTACTATCGGTGAATACAATTGTCAGGTGGATTCCCTGGCCAATACACGTGATCACGGGTATAGTTCTGTAAAAAAAAATGTTTGTCCATTTAAATGCATACGAGAAGCTGCTCACTTTCCTTACCCTTGAAGTTCTGGTGTTCTGAACTTGACACTAACTACGTATACATTTTATTAAACATATTTTTCTCTAGTAAACAACAAATTAAAAACGCCCGTGATATTTTTCTTAGTTTCTAATGTTTGCATTTTGTTCATAAGAACATTTTTTTTTAATTCTGCACTCCATTGACATGATCATAGGTTGACCTGAACCACGTGTTCGAAGTAACCTGTAAACATGTATTTGGCCTTAACGCATTCAATCAATAATTGGTCAGTTACTCGTGATAAGCTGTGCGCATTAATAGCAATAGCCATATAAGGCAAACAAAGGTTTGTCAGTGAAGATGATATTACACTTTTTTTTTACCAGAGTACCGGGTATCGGTCGCTAGTGAGCTGCAATTTTTGCAATTAACTATAAGATGTATTAATTAGTATTTACCCCCCCCCCCCTCAAGCCAACCATTTCTGTTGAAAATCATGAAAGTCTTTCAGAAAGGTGTGGAAACACATTTTTCACAGGACATGTTTTCAGAAGAAACAGACTATAGCAATTTCCTGTTTACTGCCAATTTTATTTATAAAACCGGATCTTCCCTATAACCTTTGAATAGGTAAACCTAAACCACGTGTCATGAATTTAAATCACAATAACATTAGTAGGGGTGTGAAAGCCGCCCCAATAATTATACATGTATACTCCTCACATCAAATACAAGTATGCTCCCTTTCCCGGCGTTCATAAATAAAATGCCAATGCCACAGAAAGATCTCTTGCAGCGCCAAAACAACACGATGGCAAGTGACACGTTAAAATTTGAGACGCCAAAGAATGCTTTGTCGGAATGCACAAAGTACACGCCGTTGCTCTGCGTTCCAATATACATGCAGCAGAAACCCCGAACAGTCACTGTAACAGTGCTGAAACTAACGTCTTTAACATGAGCTTTGGCGTTCAGATGACGCACTTGCTCACAGTTGGACGCATTGGTAGCACAGGACTTGCACATTGACGTCTCGCGGTTTTGAAATGAAACTAAGGCTTGTGCACGCAGTCAGCATATTGTGCACGCCAAGAACGCAAAGTGACTCCTAGTACATCATTAGCACTCGGCTGGGGCATCAATTAGTCAATCTTCAATTAGAACTCCGCAGCAACGCAGTTGCACGCCACGTAATCTCTGCAGAAATTCAGTGTTACATTGTCTTATTTTCTTTTTCTAAATTCTCGTTGACATCCCAGAATTTATTAATGCTGTGTCAGCTCTTTAAGAACGCAGTTAGAATGTAAAAGGATGTGATTTTTATTCAATTTTATCACTGGAGTAATCAAATTCATCCACTTATGCCAAAATTTATCATTTGTGAGGTTTTAATCCGTTATACTTTCTTAAAAGCTTCAAACATAGGGTTGGCTGAATACATACCACAAGAATTTTTTTCACTTTGTTTTAGTATTAAAAGGAAAAAATACCATTAAAGGTATTTGAAACTTTTGTTCTCGAAGTTTTACTGAAGTCGATGTATAATTTACAGTTGTAAATATTGGCCAGAAAATAAATCAAAAAAGAAAGAAAAATAGATAACTACATTTATTACATATAAAAATAGTTTGGTTTACCATCGTACAATGATAATTTGATGACGTGGTTTCAGATAAAAGAAACATTTGCATATGAAAGGATGAACGTACAATCCTAGAATTTGAGCTTCACGATTCACGATTTTCAGGGTTCGAGGGTCACCCCAAAAAATCAATAAGGGACAACAACAACAAGTAAAAATACCTAGGAACTGAATTCCAAAAAATACACCTGTCTGCATCTGGAATTTTACATCAATTTATACAAAATCTATTCACAATAATCACGTCAAAAGTGAACAAATTTTACTTAAAGATAATTGATTTTCACAATGTTATACGTTGCTTTTCAACAAGCAACAGAACTTCCGCACTGACGTACTGTTTCAACTGTCCAGACTTTTTTTTATTCCATACATAAAATTTTAAGTAAAATTATACAAAACCTTCACAAAAACTACATGATATACAATAATAGGGTAAGTAAGGTTAAAAAATTCGATGGACTTGTAATAATGTGGTTTAAATACTTCACGACGCAAAATTTACCCTTCAATTCCAAACAATCCGAGCCTCCTTCAAAACAGTGCGCTGAACACATGTGTGTTTTTGAAATCATGTTCAAGTCTTTAGACATGATCACACATTTACGAATATGGAATGTATGCTTCGGGTCACAAAGGTACATTTTCATCAATGACTTGAAATTGGGCACTACTCTGTCTGCTAGACTTTCTGCTCTGCGTTTCGGCAGAAGTGACAACTTCAGGTGTGTCCTCACACGACATTTGAAACACTGAGTCACTTGTCTCATCGCCGTTTGTCATCCTCATATCATTGAATTCATCATCTGTCTCTTGCACGGTTCCATTTTTTGGATCACTTCGAGTTTTACCCAACAATGGTTTAGCACTTGACGGAACGTTGGCTACACGATTATAAACTCGTTCTCGTCTGTCGTTCTTGCGAAGAATAGACATTTCTTTGAGATAGCTCCTTAGCTGACTGTCTTGTTTGTTTTTGCGTATATGTGAAGCAATCATCATAACAATAGAAAGTCCGTAAATCATGACGACAGCCACGACATAATATAAGGCCCCGATATCATCCTCGTCCGTGTGGTAGCTATCCACCATGGCTTCAAATGTCTCGTTGGCCGTTTTTATCCGAAAGCGAAGTTTACTGGCTATGTCCATCATTTTCTACGAGCCAGAAAATAAAATGAGAAATCATTTGCGACGAAAGGTCCAGAGAGACGCACTCGAGAATACACTGTTACTGTCAACCATAAATTCAATTTCTACTTTATTTAAGCTGAACAATAATTTTACATCATCCTTATATCCATTATAGCACTGACGGAAAGAGCATAAACATGTCATTGTACTCAGAAATCACAGTCCCCATTCTTGTATAGAAATATTGGATGCGAAGTCAAGCGGCTTCTTGCCTTAATTAAGGTTATTTATTTGTTATCATTACAATTTTTCTACTCACTGTCAGCTGCTATATCCATTATTATTACTAACTCTAGAACTGTGAGACAATAAAAAACATTTGACATTTACCGTATTACGATATTCCTACGCGGTCTTATATTTCCTATGTGACGGTATCCGGGTTACCAAATCTGACGGTTCTTCTGATCCAATATTCTTGTAATGGCCATCAGGAGAGCTTTCATAACATATCTGAAATACAGCACAATTAACTCATTTATCCAAGTTATTGTAAACACAGCCCTTTAATTATATACAGCAGTAAAATTTCCATGTTCAAGATTTCCCTAATGAGAGACACCATCAAATGAAATGAACTTGTTTGCAAACTCAGTAATTTTTCATTACAATTTCATGCCTCGTTTTGCACAATTTAGTAGATGGGTCTTAATCTTTATAAAAATGTGGTTGCAATGGATATAATAACCGATTCCCAGTTTCTCTCCGAGGACAACAGAAAGCACACGCCTTTTCTGCAAACATTATAGGAAGAACTCGGTATACAGACTATATAGTTAAAATAACCACTACTTATGTGGTGTAATTCGATTCTAATCGTATTTAATTAAACCATGATATGTAAAACGATATTGTTTTTTTCCACTGCAAAGTGACAAACAGCAAAGTATCGATCGAAGAGGTTTAAAGAAGCGATTCTTCCATACATGCAACGAACCTCATGTTGTATTACTAGAAAAAAAAGCAATATTTCTCTGTTTCAAAGAGACATTGAGAGCAGGTGTTCTTTGATTTTAAGACATACTTGCATGCAAGAATGCGACTTACATTTGCAAATAACTTAAGGTCTCATATAAATCCTTTTCTTTTAAAATTAACATTCTAAATATCTTTTTACTACTTGATGATATGGTGCTCAAAATGATATTTTAAATTTTTTTTCTTATTGCATACATTAAACCCTATTGTTAACAGTTTTCTTTTATAGAATTTTGCTCTTTTTACGTCAACATTGTGCAAAAATGAAATTTGAAGAAACTTAGCAATCTTTGTTGGTCCATCAAAAGCTGTAAGGTTTATTAAACTTTTTCGTCTTCAAATCCACGTTAAGGACATTGATAAAAATTGGACACAATCAAATGTTTCTTTTACTGATGTGTTATAGCGAAAATTTTACAGAGTGCAATTTCCAGTTGTGATATTTTCTAGATCCATTGCTATATTATTTTTTTAATTCCAATATGAATTTGATCTGTTTGCAGGCTCTTTCTATGCGTAGGCTGTAAATAAATGCTTCTAGGTGAGTAAAGATACCCGTCCTTCCCATGTCGTCTGCTAAGCTATATCATACAACACTTCCCCTTAACAAAACGTGTGAGAAATTCTCACCTGTATCCTATTCTTTACAAGGTGTGTACAAAAAAATCATGAAGATTAATATGTCTAAACACCTAGATGTTAACAATCACACGAGGCACAAGAGCTTAAAATCTGTGTTGAAAGTTAAGTAAGGATTTTCCCCTTATTTCTTGCCAATTACCGTATATATTTCCTACTTTTATTTCAAAATTTTAAAAATTCGTCGTCAATTCAGTGTTTAATTAATAGCCTAACAATTACTATGAAAAACGTCAGTCAGCATTTGACTCAATGACAAAGTGCATTTTGTTGACAAGGTCATTGCATCGATCATATAATTTACGAAATGATGACTTTAAACGAGACTGCTGATGTTCTTGTTGCATCAACTTGTTTGTCAGTAATTTACTTTGTTTTAGAAATTGTTCATACATAGAGCATGCTTTTGCGTATCGAATCAACTGAGAGATATATAGCCCATATGTAGCTGATGAAGGTATGCTTTTTCAATAAAAATGGAGCTCTAAAATTTACAATCCTTATCAATAGTCATTTGTATTTGCAAATTTGTTTTTGTTAAAAACATCCCCCTTGTATACACAAGTACTCTGAAATTGATCTTCAAAAGATGCTTGGGTTTCTGATTGACAATATCTATGTGGTTTTGGAGACCATCTACCATCTGTTAGAATTCCCATGAGTATCAATAGTACCTCATTATATGCAGACCTATTTTTGTATTCATATAAAGCAGATTTTAATTTAGAATCCTATATGTGAAAAGAAAACTTTTGTCGCTGCCTTCAACCATTTATTTTGATATATCGACAACGTATTGTCCATCAATTATAGTTATTTCCATTCATTTGTCGAATCTATATATCCCAGTGAGCTTGAAATAGAAGATGCCATCTAGAATCTGACAAATCTGTTTCATATTAGGATATTTTACTAGAAAAGACGTTAATGGTGATCTAATACATGTGGCAAAATTTATGCTGAACGTGATGACTTTTCAATGTCAACTTCCCTTACTTATGCAGCATAAAAACAAAATCAGCTGCTTTTAATTTATTTCTCTCAGCTGATTCGATATCAAGATTATGTTTCTACATGTGAACAATGTCTAAAATGAGGTAAGGTATAAACAAATAAGTTGATGAAATAAGAATATCAAAACTCTCGTTAAAATTAACCATTTGGTAAGTATTATGGTCAATGCAATGACCTTGTCAGCAAATACAATCTATCATTCAGTCTAATGCTGACTGACTATTTTCATTCTAATAGTTGGAACATTATTTACACACTTAATTGTCGGCAGGGGATGTGCACTTCTGTGGATAAGATGTAAGCTAGACATTTTATTCGGTTTGCATAAATCAAAAAAGCGACCCGAAATTACAGCTCTTGTTGGAGGCGGCAAATTTCCATTTTTCATAATGGCGTCGGTTGTGACGTTTTCCTGACACTGGCAGTCATATATCAAAATCGTTAAAAAAATCTGGAAAGTATTAGATTTTTCAAACTATTTAAGTGTATATTATCACAAAAGGAAATGTTATAAATTGTAAATAAAGATGTAAGGTGATTTTTCTTTATTGACTTTAATTTCCATCATTTGAATAAAAGAAAAATTGAACTTTTCCAAACCCATTTCGCCATATCTCGTTAGCTTTCATTTAGTCATGCCTAGAGTATCATCAATACCATGTACAGTTTTTAGTAATAATAGCAATACTATTCAATTTCTTTTTTTATTTGATAAGTGTTCGATTTCATTTCTGGAAAGAAAATCAAGAGAAACACGTTATTAAGAGAAAAAAATCATCGATGAAATTACAGGAACGAACACACATCGATCGAAGTTAAACTGTTGTTAATACTCTCTAAATCATATGGCTTCTATACTGAACTATCAATAAAAAGAAGTTGGCTATCTTGTTTACTGTGCCATTTTACGACAACCGGAGATTGTCGATATGACAAGATTTTACGTTTCCTCTACGCGTTTTGTATCAGCTTCTACGATAAAGAATCGTGATAATGACTTACAAATATGATCTATTTTTAGAACTTATAAAGACTTGTTTACGTTGTCTTAATGCTTTTTGGTCTTATTGCTTCTACTCACTATATAAAATAGAATTGTCAAGATAATATAAAATCATAGTTCATTCCATCCGTACATGTATTCTTTTAAAGGATATGCTCAGTACATTGTACTGCAACGGATTAGAAAAAATATAGATAAGAAGTAAGGCGTCATATGATAAAGAAGATGGACGAACACGGCCAATAATATTCGTACAATGCGTCAACTATAAAGGTAAAAAATAATATCTCATTTATAAACAAGAGATATTTGTGAAACACTGATACCCCTGTATGGCAGCTTATAGTGAGGCTTAAATTTTCTCAAATGCAAGTCAAACTTTAGGGTCAAGGTCAAAAGATCAAAATGTTGATATCCAAAGGAAGTACTTGTCACAAGAAATATACCTCTGAAATGTGAAAGCTCTCATTCTTTTCAAAAATTATGTTCAGTTTTTCAAAACTGGATCAAACTCTAAGGTCAAGGTCAAAAAATAAAAATAAATATTTATACCCATTGAAGTTCTTATCACAGTTAATACATATATTAAGTATGAAAACCCTAGTACTAACTAATAATTAGTAATGGATAAGGTTAAAACTTAACTTTTTTTGTAAAAGTGGATTAAACTCCAAGATCATGGTCATGAGGTCAAATTTAGTGGTACAAGGAACACACCAGTGAAATATGAAAGCCACTTGCTCAAAAATATGGTCAAGGTTATTTTGGAAAAACAGACAAACAAACAAACAAACAGACGGACGGACAAGGCAAAAAATATAAACCCTCGAATCTTCGATTACGGGGGCATTAATATATTCTTAGATATTTAAAAATGCAATTTATAATACAAGAAATAGTTTAAGTTTATTTAGACACAAAAATCATAGCACAATATTTATTTTAGTTGTAAAACTTCGGTGGTTAAAACGTTTTATATGCAAATTACACTCAGAATGTTTATTGCTAGAGGTTAAATCCCAAGAATACGACATTTTTTTAAATTATAGAATACTGTATACAAAGAAATTTTCGCCCCGTTTTATTTTCGCCCTTGTCACAAATGGGCGAATTTAAAAAGGGGCAAATTCAAAGAACACAGTATAAATTCTTAAACAGAACTGGGACTGGGCGAATTAAAAACGGGGCAAATTTGTAAGCAAGTGTAAGAGGGCGAAAATAACACCGGGCGAAAATAACCCTGTATACAGTATATTATGGTAACAAAATTTTCATCAGAATTTTTTTGGGTCAGAATATCATAAATTTAACAATAACTTTACTCGAATTCTAAATATCTCAAAATGTTTAAACAAACAGTTTAAAAAGAAGATATGAAAATTTATCAAAGATGAAGAAAGTTGTCCTGCCAATCCTAACTTTAAGTTGCTTTGGTGCAACGTACTTTGTTCAAGGTTCAAGATTCAGTTTAGTTTCTTATTGAAAACTATTACATCTTCTAATCTTTTCAAAATATGATCAAAGAATTTTGATGTAATTTCCATTTCTTTAATATAAAGATACTAATAATGATCTTTCATCATTAGACACATCAAAGAAAAGTTTCCATGTAAACCTTTTGAGTGTGAATCTTTCTGGCATTTAAGAGACATTCTGGATGAAAATTAAAAGCTTTGTTTAGTCTTCTTTTTCTTTTTCTTTTTTTTACATTGAATTCATCTAATGTTTTAGACGTAAGAAATAAAAAAAAATGTTTTTGTAAATGATTGGCAATACCATTTTAATTTTAAATGAAATACTTACATCCCTTATTTCCCAT